AAGTAAATTTTTATAGTAACAATACCAGCAATACATTTTATAGTAAAATGATCAATAATACATTTTATCTGTAGTTGGAGGCACAAAATTGTGTTGAAAATATTTAGATTTCAGCATCAAATAACCCATAAAGATATTGATATGCCGCTAAGCAAAATCAACTCTTTCATTAATTGGTTCCAAAAGCTGTGATGCAAACTGGGGTGTAATGTCTTAAAATGAAGATAAACTCCATAAAACTAGCGTAAATAGCTTACAAAAGAATATAAAATGATTCAAACACAAAACTGATCTTTTAATCATCTGAGAGAATCGATTTTTACCGTCTGTCAGCATGGCTGATACAGACTTTCAATGTGGTTGATACAGTACACCTTGGACTAACATTTCCCCTGACATGAAGTGGAAAGATATTAAATTATTAGCTAGGTCTGCTGCTACGAAAGTTTAACTGTGTTGTGCCAGACAATTTATTCTTGTCAGAAACTGCTTTGGAAATTTATAAATTTTTTTCCGTGCATTGAATATTTCTGTTATCTGGTCTGGTGTTCTTGATATGCCTTGAGATTCTCAATAAACTCCAAAGAAAGGTCTGTAAGGTAGTCGGTCCTGATTTGGCATTTCAACTTCAGTTGCTTTTCCACCACCAAGATGTGGCTTCCCTGTGTCTTCTGTATAATAATATATAAGAGTAACTGTGTCACACTTTCTCAACTTTACTCCTAGAGGTTGTAGCCCAACATATCATAGCAGTTTGGATTCAGGCTGACTTCATGAGCAAATTAAAAACATTCCGGGTAAGATCTGGACTGGCAATCCTGAAATTTTGGATTCCCAAGTTTTCATTACTGTGATTGTTTTGGGGGGATATATATATATATATATATATTTTTATATGTTTTTTTTTAATGTTATTTTTGTAATTTTTTTGTATATTAACAACTTGGAAATAAATTTGGGAATGATCAAAATTAATTGTGAAATCCAGCAAAACTCATTCATGAAATAAAAATAATTGTTTGCACGGAAAGTAAGGACCTATGTACAACAAATTGTCTTTAAATTAAGTGGTGGCAGAAGAATTATCGTTGAACTTTTAAAAGGTAAACTTAAATATCATACAATACTTAAATGCAGCAATCAATTTTGAGTTCTTCTATAGTTTATTGTCTATCGCATCAACTCCTGATAGGGCGGCTTTTAAGCTAGTTATAAATATTTTCAAGGTACATGTTCTAACAAGCTTTCCACCTCAACTGCATGAATTCAAGCATACTAGTAGATTGGCAACTAAGCCTCCTCGTTTTACTGTTGAATTAGCAAGTTGTAACAAAGTTTTATTCTCATTTTCTTTTCTCGCACTTCTCATCTGTGGAATCCGCTTCTGGTTTCTTGCTTCCCTGCCAACTACGATCTTAAAACAATTTAAATGCACATCTTCTGTTTTCTGGACTCTTGTTCTTTTATTGTCGTTTTCTCCTCGTTTTGTTGTTGTTGTGTGTGTGTGTATTTTTTTTTTTTTTTTTTTTTTTTTTTTTTTTTAGTAACCCCTAGGTGTCTTACTGGCATTATCTTCTTTCTTGGGGGTGAAATGATAAAAAAAAAAAATTATCCCTAATTGCTGGCTCAAAAACTGGTACTGCCTCCAACTCCATGCTTTTTCAGATGATAATGTATTTTTTCCTAAATCAAATTTTTTTTTTTTTTTTTTCGTCTTCATTCGCTTGTTCCTGAATTGTTTAATAATGGCACGTAGTATAATAGCAGCTTGTAAAGTGATATTAGTAAGCTAAGTTATCCTAAACGGGTTCTTCTCCAAATCATACGAATGCTGGTGTCCCCCAAGGCTCTATCCTGGGTCCTACACTGTTCTGATCTTCATCAACGATCTTCCTGATGTCGCCAGTTCTCAAGTAGGCGTCTACGCAGAAGAAACCACCATTTACTCCTGTCTCAATAGTAAATCTGTCATTGCCGACAAAGTTAACCTGGCCATTGGTCTCAAAAAGGATCTCTGTGGTTGGTTGGGGCAGGAAATGGCTTGTAAACTTTAACGTTTCCAAAACAAAACTGCTCTCATTTACCCACCATAGAGAAAGCTCCTTGCCTCTTATCAACATGGCTGATGCTCAACTTCACGAGAGTGTTTCTCTGCACCTTCTCAGTCTCACGTTTTTCCACTGACCTGAGGTGGAACAACTACAAATTTACCCCTAATTGCTGGCTCAAACATTGATACTGCATCCAACTCCGTTCTATTTTCACATGATAATGTATTTTTTCATAAGTCAATTTTTTTGTTTTGTTTTTGTTTTCATTTGCTTGTTTCTTAATTGTTTAATGTGTGCAAGTCGTATAGGGAGGACAGGGGTCTCCTCAAAGATGAAGAAGAGACTCCTGGCAGCGGAGGTATGGCTCTACAGAAGGGTGCTGAGGATATCATGGACCGAGTGTGTGAGCAACAATGCGGTTTTAGAGAGGATGCAAACAAGGAGGAGGCTTATACTTAACATCAGGAAGAGGCAGCTGTTTTTTGGGACACGTAATGAGAAAGGAGGGCTTGGAGAATCTGATACTCACAGGTTGAATATAGAGAAAGAGAGACAAGGGAAAGCAACGCATGGCATACCTGGTGGGCTTAAGCAAGTGGATGACAGAATGTGGTCTGGGGGAGGTGTCAGAGGGATGAAACTTATTGAGAGTTGCAAGGGATAGGGAGGAAGTGGAGAGCCTTGTTCGCCTATGTTCTGAAAGGAAATGACACTTAGAAAGAAAGAAGTATAATAATAGCTTGGAAAGAGAAACTAGTAAGCTAAGTTTGAATTCTGGTTGAGTTTGTTAGGTTTATTTTTGCAGAAATAATAGACCTTGGGAAAGGTAGTAATCCACCCAGATGCAAGTTAAATAACAGAGCAGTCTTGGTTGGTAACCAGTTGAGAGATGATGACTTGATGAAAAAACACTTATCTTCCATCAGCCTGGGCCACATGGAGAATGTGCCGACCCATAAAAAATGCACAATGACTGAAATTTGTCACGTCACATGAGTTGAGGATACTTTTAAAAGAAGTTGGATTAACTTGAGCTAATGAAAATAATATCACTGGGATTTCAAATGCAGTCCAAGTCTCCAATTAGTCGACTGGAAGTAACACTTTTTTCCCCACCCATTCACACTCACAACACATGAACCTTATCGGATGAAGCTATGCTTAGTAAATATAGTATTTGATTTATTTTATAAATTTCAACAGCCGCAATGTTCAATTTCAAATATCAAAGCAATGATTATGCCTGACAGCCAGAAGTTACTCTTACAAATATATCGTCCTTAATGCAGCCTTAGGAGTGATTGACAGAAAAATAGAAACAACTAGAATACAGACAAAAAATTCCATCAACCTGGGCCACTTGGAAAATGTGCTGGTGTATAAAAAATGCACAGAGACTGAAATTTGTCACATCACGTGAAGCGAGGCAGACTACATTTTTACCCGCCCCCTAACTGCATGACGGAAGAACAATAACAATAATAACAACAAAAATAGAAAAAAAGTCCTCCTTGTACTATTAACATTGAAGGGCTAGATTCAATAATCACGTTTTTCATTACACCCCTTTCCCATTTTATCTACATGGGTGCTTGGCTGAGTAGTGAGAACATTACTGTTCTGATAATGAGATCTGGGTTCGAATCAATTTGTCAGTGACTTTTTGATAATATCAACCTAGAGAGTTGGGAAGTGTTGGAAGCCGCTAATGGTTGTGTTAACATAAAGTTACAAGTCATCTTGGCTGAGGGGTTGAGTGGACTAGCCTTGTTTGAATTGTTGATCACTCCAGCTTATACTGTAACTAAATTTCTGTCCAACCTGGGGAAATTTGATAGCCTCTCCCTACTTCATCGCTATTACTATGGCAAATGTTCTAACGAGTTACATTACTTAGCCCCTCAGACCTTCATAGCTTGGACCCACCATGCCATGCCCACGGTGGCAAACCATCTCAATTTCCTTTTTGGTAAGTTCCATTCAGACAGCTTCTTCCTTAGAACTGTTACTTTGTCGAACAGGCTCCCCAGAAGAAGTTTCCCTAACCACTGCAGTCTTAACCTCTTTAAGTCTAGGATCAGCCGTTATCTATCTTGCATATCCTCATATGCATTTCCTTCGTTCTTATAACAATCTCATTCAGTAATCTTCTACCTTGAATTGCTCTTGAGCCTTGTATTAAGTGAACAAAAGTAAAAGAAGCATAATTGCAGTATAAACCACAGTATTGAATGATCAAAAATGTGCGTGAGCAGGCGGCTGCAACAGAGATTAGCTAGCCACCTTAGCTGAGAGACATACTCAGAAACTAGTGACGAGCTATACAATGTTTTTCAATTGCAATCCAAGCGAATTTTGTTCAGTTAGCGGTTGCAGTTTCTATGAGAGGTTGCAGTGTCTCATTTTTAGAGACGGTATCTCCTTGCCAATATAGATATTAAAAAAAAAATATTTTAGAGACAGTATCTCCTTGCAGGTTACCTGTGACGTTCCTCCGCCATGCATCTGATAATGTGATTTACGACCTCCTCACCTCCCCATATTCTAAATGCGTGATATATTTTTTTTGCGGGGGGATTTACACCCCGTCACACATTAAAGTATTGACCAAGCATGATGCTTAATCACACCCGGACTACTGTCCTCATCTTCGTTATCATCCTAATGTCTCGACCGTTGTACTCTCCAGCACGACGATTTTTTTTGATCTGATCAGGTGCTTATCGATTTGGAAGACCTTGATTGATTAATTGATTCTGGGGGCGGATCATAATGGTTGAGTGATACAAGACTTACTAATTAACCCGTAGCTGGGGAGAGAAGAGGTGAATTTATACCTTTCCCAAGAGTATTTTCACGTAAGTGAATATAACAAATCCAACTGGAATTGGAACTCGGCTCTCCGATTAACAATTCCAATCATCTATTCCACCACTCGCACACCCAGTCTTACAACACCTGGTATTCCCAAGTGGTCACCCATCCAGGTACTGATTAGACTTGATGTTGCTTAACTTCGGTGATTGTACGGGAGCTGGTGTTTCAATATACATGTAAGCTTTATCCCGTTCCGCTGACTATATCGGTTTCTATTTAATACTGCTCAGTTATTGCTTGCTCTAGTGTGTTGGGTACACTCTACCCAACCCAGGGATTGAATTCACAATCACTATTTTTTTTTAAGCGTTTCACCCCAAGCAAGGGGGGGAGGCAACTAGCACGCGAAGAGTTACAGAGAGTTGGAGCGAGAGCAAAAAGCAGTGATAGAGGAAAGGTCAGGGCATCTGGAGACGTCAATTGACATTACATTTGACTAGTTGGAGATTATAGCTATCAGGGAAAGAGGAAAAGGGGAGGGAGTTCCACAGGCGAGAAGTGCGAGACATGAAGCTATTGAAATAGAAGTGACGGCTACACTTAACAGTTTCGACAGTGAAAGGGTGAGAGTGAGATGCCAGCCTAGTAGAACGCTTAAATTCATTAAGTCTGGGAACCAGCGAAAGCATATCATCGGAGCAGTTACCATGAAAGTATTTGTAAAAAAGATAGAGGGAAGCGACGGCACGTCTGTGAGAGAGCGACTGCAGACGAGATGCCAGATCAGGGCTAATTATATTGCATATCCGTCTCTGGATTTTATCAAGCACCTTGAGATAAACAGAAGGGGGTCTAGACCATATATAGCAACAACACTCTATGCAAGGGCGAATGGTTGATTTGTAGATTTGAAGGATCGACTCCGGCGAGAAAAATTTCCCGGCGCAGCACAGAGAGCCAACTTTCCTTGCGGTGGACGAAGCTATTGACTCGATGTAATTTTTCCATCTCAGGTCAGCAGATAATGTGAGATCGAGCAGTCACAAAGAGGTGCTCTCTTGGAGTTGAGCGTCAGACATTCTAATGTCACCAAATTCCCAAACCAACGCTTTAATCCACTAGGCCATTGTTCTGTGGGACAATTTGCTGTAGCGAACTTGTAGCCTTAGATTTACGGACACCTGATAAAGGCCGGAATAGCACAATGTCGAATTCAACGGCCGAAACGTTGTGATGACATCAAAGATTAGGATAATAGTCCGAATAGAAATAGTGTAAATAATGATAACTCCGCATCTCATAAATTCAGACAAAAATTACTGTCTTAATATATGAAATTTCTCTTAATCGAAAAAAATCGTAAACAGCTTCCCAAATGTAATCAACTGTTCTTTGACTTGTGGACCACCATTACTTAAAAAATTCTAGCGAAATTCATCGAGAACTTTGTGCTGACCCATAGAACTAGACGTGTTTGTTTAACGTGTACTTGGTGTTGTCTTCCAGGAAGCACTCGATTCTTCCAAGATCGAACAAATGGATCCAGTGGCATCCAAGAATATTTTCCTCATCTTTGTTGTTGTTATTACAACGTTTTGGCCGTTGCATCATTCGACCTTCCTCGTGTGTCTATCGATGTGGGTAACCTGCAAGGAATTGTGAACTGAAACTTTTATTTAACCTACGGAGGAAGTCTGTTCTCGTTCGATTGATCATGTCTAGGTATGTCGTCTAGTTCTTATTCTTATTTAGTACTGCTCAGTTATTGCTCGCCTCGTGCAAGTACACACTAACCAACCCAGAGATTGAACTCACGATCACTATGTCACAAAATTCACAAAAACCAACGCTTTAACCCACTAGGCCATTGTCCTGTAGGACAATTTGCTGTAGTGAACTGGTAGCCTTAGATGGACACCTGAGGAAGGCCGACATTCAACGGCCGAAAAGTTGCGATCACATCAAATATGAGGACAATAGTCCGAATGTAAATAATGTAAATAATGATATCTCCTCATCCCAGAAATTCAGGCAGAATGCGATCAGGTAATAAAAACAACAAAGATGAGGACAATAGTCCGAATGTAAAATAATGTAAATAATGATATCTCTTCATCCCAGAAATTCAGGCAGAATGCAATCAGGTGATAAAAACAACAAAGATGAGGACAATGGTCGAATGTAAATAATAAATAATGATATCTCCTCATCCCAGAAATTCAGGCAGAATGCGATCAGGTGATAAAAACAACAAATATGAGGACAACGGTCCGAATGTAAATAATGTAAATAATGATATCTCCTCATCCCAGAAATTCAGGCAGAATGCGATCAGGTAATAAAACAAAAAGATGAGGACAATAGTCCGAATGTAAATAATGTAAATAATGATATCTCTTCATCCCAGAAATTCAGGCAGAATGCAATCAGGTGATAAAAACAACAAAGATGAGGACAATAGTCCGAATGTAAATAATGTAAATAATGATATCTCCTCATCCCAGAAATTCAGGCAGAATGCGATCAGGTGATAAAACAACAAATATGAGGACAATAGTCCGAATGTAAATAATGTAAATAATGATATCTCCTCATCCCAGAAATTCAGGCAGAATGCGATCAGGTAATAAAACAAAAAAGATGAGGACAATAGTCCGAATGTAAATAATGTAAATAATGATATCTCTTCATCCCAGAAATTCAGGCAGAATGCAAGGTGATAAAAAACAACAAAGATGAGGACAATAGTCCGAATGTAAATAATGTAAATAATGATATCTCCTCATCCCAGAAATTCAGGCAGAATGCGATCAGGTGATAAAAACAACAAATATGAGGACAAAGTCCGAATGTAAATAATGTAAATAATGATATCTCCTCATCCCAGAAATTCAGGCAGAATGCGATCAGGTAATAAAAACAAAAAAGATGAGGACAATAGTCCGAATGTAAATAATGTAAATAATGATATCTCTTCATCCCAGAAATTCAGGCAGAATGCAATCAGGTGATAAAAACAACAAAGATGAGGACAATAGTCCGAATGTAAATAATGTAAATAATGATATCTCCTCATCCCAGAAATTCAGGCAGAATGCGATCAGGTGATAAAAACAACAAATATGAGGACAATAGTCCGAATGTAAATAATGTAAATAATGATATCTCCTCATCCCAGAAATTCAGGCAGAATGCGATCAGGTGATAAAAACAACAAATATGAGGACAATAGTCCGAATGTAAATAAATAAAAATAATGATATCTCTTCATCCCAGAAATTCAGGCAGAATGCGATCAGGTAATAAAAACAAAAAAGATGAGGACAATAGTCCGAATGTAAATAATGTAAATAATGATATCTCTTCATCCCAGAAATTCAGGCAGAATGCAATCAGGTGATAAAAACAACAAAGATGAGGACAATAGTCCGAATGTAAATAATGTAAATAATGATATCTCCTCATCCCAGAAATTCAGGCAGAATGCGATCAGGTGATAAAAACAACAAATATGAGGACAATAGTCCGAATGTAAATAATGTAAATAATGATATCTCCTCATCCCAGAAATTCAGGCAGAATGCGATCAGGTAATAAAAACAAAAAAGATGAGGACAATAGTCCGAATGTAAATAATGTAAATAATGATATCTCTTCATCCCAGAAATTCAGGCAGAATGCAATCAGGTGATAAAAACAACAAAGATGAGGACAATAGTCCGAATGTAAATAATGTAAATAATGATATCTCCTCATCCCAGAAATTCAGGCAGAATGCGATCAGGTAATAAAACAAAAAAGATGAGGACAATAGTCCGAATGTAAATAATGTAAATAATGATATCTCTTCATCCCAGAAATTCAGGCAGAATGCAATCAGGTGATAAAAACAACAAAGATGAGGACAATAGTCCGAATGTAAATAATGTAAATAATGATATCTCCTCATCCCAGAAATTCAGGCAGAATGCGATCAGGTGATAAAAACAACAAATATGAGGACAATAGTCCGAATGTAAATAATGTAAATAATGATATCTCATCACAGAAATTAAAACAAAAATTACTATCTAGGTATATTTCGTCCAGTTCTTATTTTAGCATTGCTCAGTTACTCCTCGCCACGTTTCCGCTGAGTCCAAGTAAGCACTACCCGGCGCAGGGATTGAACTCTCAATTACTGTCACCAAATCCACTCGGCTATTGTCCCATGACTAAAACTTGATGATAGCACTAAAGATGATAACATCAGAACGCAAATAATAGTGTTAATTAATGATAGATCAAGCAAATTGTTGTTTGCATTTTTGTGTTGCCTTTCAAGAAATTCCTTTGAAACTTTGTTGAAAGGTCTGGTTTGTAAACAATTACTTAGTAGGCAAATGGGCAAAAACAACCCTCCCACGGCACACACACAAAAAAGTCCAAATAAGAGAAATTAACGAGAAAATTTTTGCGTAGAGCTTTCGTCGTCGTCGTCGTTGTATGCCGGCTTCTTTCACGGTAGATGGGTTCTCTTGGGCCGGTTAGACAAACACGGCAACGACACACTTTGAACAGTCCCTTGCTGTAAGCATGATGCCGAAATAGTCATTGCATGCAATTTACATCAGACAATTAAAGAAGCCGAGTGTACCAGGTAATTCACCTGGGACTACTCCCAGCTGCCGAATGAGGAAGTACCTATCCTTACACTTGCATCCGGTATTGAAATCATGGGAACGAGAATGTTTGACAGGTGGATATAGAAACAACCGTCGCGTAGATTGGACAGTTCCGGGCAGTTGCTCACACACCGCAGACGGAGAATGCAGGTCCCACATATCGGACAAGGGCTCATAACACAGATTGGCTGCTAGTAACTGACGGAATATTCGGGTAAATAAAATGTTAATCTACGATTGTTACGAACGGCCTTTGTCACTTCACATGGGCCCTGATCAACCTTCCTTGAATGCAAACGAACAGGTTATGTTTGTTACGTTTGTCACGACAACAAATGATTATTTAATCAATCATATAGTTATGACCTGACTTAAGATACCTTCAGGTGGTTTTAAGGCATAAACCCATTAGAATTTATTTTGTCGATGACATGTTTTTTCTAGCACGTTTAGTCAAGAGAGATTCTCACTACATAATCAGGCGTTGAAATTGCCCACATGTAATTTGTTAATAAATAAATAAATAAATAAATAAAAGTATAAAATTATCATCAAATACAGGGTGT